ACTTGAGTAGAGGCCCAATATCCATCTGCTACCTAACTATTTAACATATAAATATACGTACATAGAGCTATGGGGCTATAAATCTTGATGGAAGCAGAAAACATCAGCTTTTTCCCCAATGGAGATGCTAGGCTTGAACTGGCAACCTTGTGGTTAGCAGCCCAACACTTACCCAACACCATACTCATCCCTACAACAGGGACTTTGCACTGGCTTATCATTCAGATCTTCCCGCATCTATATCCTGGGTCTTTCAGCTCTGCATGGATATGTGACTTAATCAGCATGGCTTTTCTAAATAATAATGGAAGCCCCACACCACCCTTTTCTGTCACACCATCCCACTGCATTTTCTAGAATCCACTTACATTTGTTGAGATCTGTTCATTTACTGGTGTCCTTGTCTATTATAAGGGGGCGTGATGCTACTGGAGTTCCAGTTCCCATTTCTAACAAAATGTATTTAAACGTGCTTCTGTGGTCATTGGGTGGCTACAGACAAGTGCTTTCCAAGGAGTTATGCCGGACCAGTCCAAAAGTTCACAGCAACTCAACGATGTTTGGGGACTCCAAAGGAGCAATCTTGCTAGACTTTTCCCAAATGACATGGGATTGTCAGGGGCACTTATTGTAAGTCTGAAGAAAATTGAAATCTGCATTGGCGAAGGAAACGTCCAGGAAATGTGCACTGACTAAACCTGTTTCCATCACAACAGCACCCCTGCTCCTTTGCCGAGGTAGCCAGGGCTGTCCTACAAGAGTTTCGTTGACAAACCTTACCTGGGCATCCTACAGCTCTGAACTCGTCACACAGAGACCAAGTCTTCTGAATACGGTCATTCTGTGGATTCCTTTCATTATCTCTTGACGCTTCTCACAACTGTCAAGATTTTACTCTAGAATTCTTCAGTACTGTAACTCAGGAGTTGAAATATTCCGTTAGTTCTTTCATTTGGAGAAATATTCAGCTGACACTTCAACTGTGATTTTTGCAACTTCAGTTCTTTGCAAATTCCATTGAAATGCCTTTCATTGTCTTCTTGAGCCAACCTTTGAAAGCTTCTGTTCAACTCTTTTGACTTTATCATTTCTTCCTTTTTCTGTCGCTTCTCTGTGTTCTAGAGCAAGTGTCCAAGTCCCCTCTGACATTCATTTTGGTCTTCTCATGTTTTTGTGTCTTTTTACTGATCTTTTGGCTTCCTCATGTGTGATGTCTTTGATGCCATTCCGTAACTCCTCTAGTCTTCTGTCATTACTGATCAAAACGTCAAATCTGTTCTTGAGATGTTCTTGGAATTCGGATGGGATATATTCAAGGTTGTATTTTGGCTTTTGTAGACTTGTTTTAATTTTCTTCAGATACAACCTGAATTTCCATATGAGCAATTGATAGTCTGTTCCACAGCCAGCCCCTGGCCTGGTTTCAGCTGCAGAGAATGAGCTCTTCCATGATCTCTTCCCACAGTTGTAGTCTATTCTGTTTCTGTGGATTCCATCTGGAGAAGTCCATGTGCATTGTCCCCGTTTGCCCCCATTCAACAAAGAAATTGTTGGTCTCATAAGATTCTGTGATGAGATCTCCTGCTTCATTTCTATCACCAAGGCCATATTTTCCAACTACTGTTCTTTCTCCTTTGTTTCCAACTTTGCATTCCAATTGCCAATAATTCTGAATGCATTTCAATTGCATGTTTGATTAATTTCTCACCAAAGACATTGGTAAAGTTCTTTGATTGCTTCCTCTCTCGCTTTAGTGGCTGATGCATAAATTTGAATAATAGTTGTATTGAGTGGATTTTCTTATATTTGTATAGATATAATCCTATCACAGACAGCCTTATACTTCATTGTACATGATTCCTCTTCCATCCATCATGTTCAGCATAGTAGACAATGATGTTCTGATTCACAATGGCCAATATCAGTCTGTGTCAGCATTGAATGCTATGCATTCCACTTCCTTTTCTACTACTTCCAATTTTCCTAGATTCATACTTCATACATTCAAAGTTCCACTTATTAATAGATGTTAGCAGCTGTTTCTTCTCATTTTGAATCATGCCCCATCAGCAAATGAAGGTCTTGTAAGCTCGTTTACAGTCAATAGATGGACTCTACTTTGAAGAGACAACTCTTCCCCAGTTGTGTTTTGAGTGCCTTCCAACTTGGGCAGCTCATCTTCTGGCACCTTTTGTCCTCTCCTTCCCATCAAAAGGGACGAGCATTTCACTCTTTGGGGCACCTACAAATTCTATGCATTCTCAGAAAATTACATAACTGAACAATGTCTCCTTTTTGGCTTTAGAGTTTAAGAAACTCAGAATAAAAGCTGCAGCTCAGTTAGAGTAACTTTAATGATCCTAGCAGTTCTTTACGCTTTTCCCAGAACTGATTTCTAAGTTATGTTTATGCAATCTTGTTGCAAGCCAGGTGTATGAATAATGAATTAATTTTCAAATTCCATTCTAATGGAAGTTAGTCATTCCATATAAAGTCTTAGCTGCTATCATTGAGATTTGTGTTTCATTGGAAAGTATACAGATTAAATACCTTTCAAATGGTTCCCTTAGCAACAGATGAAGCCGACTTTTAATACGAGGCAAGGTTTCATCTATAAATTAACTTTGAAGAAAACAGCTAAATAGAATTTTGTTGCGCTTAGTTTCATAAGCAATTTTGAGGTGTGTGTGACTCGTCCCTGACATATTCCAGAAGCAGTGCAATGAACTGCACATCCCTCCTGGCCAATGACAAGGGGAATAAGCACCATCTCTGACCCACAGTGGTACCACGTTAAGTTTTTAAATATACTGACTAAGCCAATAATGAGGTTCTGCACATGGTAACTTCTATGTAATGAGTCACCTGCCAATTCAAGGAAACCAAGACTGTTCTCAACATTTATAGTTTCCTTAGGAAATCGCTTTTGTTGCTGTGGTAATTTTTTTTTTTAATCTAAGAAGTGACGCCTCTACATCATTAACAAAGGAAAGACTGTTGCCTTTGATCGGCTACAAAAGCATCATGGAGTTATAGTTGGTCCATCTGCAAGTGCCTGCGTCCAGTGCCAGAAGCTAACAGCAATCATTCGCTTCCACTTGCTGCATGTGTAGCTTTTAAATCATGAGAAGGCTTCAAGCCTTCACTTGCACTTAGTCCCATATGTGCCTGTTCCAACTTACCGACGAATTCAACTTCGGAATATTTTGAACTGACCTTGCTCACTGCTTATGGACCGCTCATACTCGTATGCCATGTATGGCTCTACATATTAAGCTTATTAACATATTCACTTGGCACTAGTCCAAAATTGATATATGCTTTGTCTTTTTCTATGAAGACATAAGTATAGGAGAAAAAAGCTATCCTCCCCCTTCTTTTGTCTCTCTTGCTTAAGCCTGGTTCAGAATCCTGTAGCCTTTTCTAATTTCCAATAAACTATGTATCTTAATCATGGTTCCTTTTCCAATTCTGTAGTGCTACCTGAAACAGTGGTGAATTGAGCTGTCACCAATCACTCATTTGTGACAGTTGCCTTTATTTTCCATGTTCTATAATCAGCCACATGGCTAATAGTCATCATTATGGCCTCATGCTCTTACCCCCATATGAAACGTAATAATCTCTGTAGAATAAAATAAAAATTAAGCTTTGTTCAGTGTTCTGTGCACTGCTGACTGTTAGTTATGTCCTTGGTGGATTAAAAAGAAGTGTGTTGTGTGTGTGTAGGAATGTGGAGTAGGAATGAGAACCTAGGCCGAGTTCATGATAAAGTGGAAAATCTAAGATGAACTGAAGAGAAAGTCATAAAGTCTAAGATGAACCGTAAGGCTCTGCTGATCTAGAAGGGAATGTAGTGAGACGAGGTGGCATAATGTACTGACCACATTATCTTGTGTGCTATCCAAGTTAAGGACTTAGCATAGGGTCCAGCAAAGCAAGAGAGAAAATAACAATTCACATAAGGAGTCTCTGTGTTGTGTAAATGGTTAACACTTGCCCCTGACCCAGAAGGTTGTGAGTTCAAACCCCTCTAGAAGAGCGTTGAGGGACAAGCCTGGTGATCTTCCTCTGAAAGGTCACAGCCTTAAACACTCTCTGTGAAAAAACTCTATGGAGCAGTTCTGCTAAGCAGATATCGGGGTTGCATAAGTCAGAATTGACTGAATAGCAATAAGGTGAAATAATAGTATATGAAATGTACACAGGTAGGTGGTGGTTGTCGGTAGGTGCCATCAAGTCAGTTCCGACACCTAGCGACCCATAGCACAACAGAGCGAGCACTGCCTAGTCCTTCGCCATCCGCACAGTTGTCCTTACGTTTGAGCCCACTGTGGCCGGTAGGTTGAGTAACCCCAAAGTCAAAAGAGCAGAATTCCTCAGGAACTGGCACTTCCTGGGGTATGTGTAGAGAGGCCAAGAAAAATGAAGATCAAGGAAAATGTCAGCTATCATGAGGAGCTCACTGGAATCCTTTAATAAGTGCTTTCAGGAAGCGTAAGGGAGATGAATCCAAATTTAGAGAGACTGAGAAAAAATAGGAAATTGGGGAGTGAATGCAGTGGATATAGATCACTGGGTCAGGAAGATGAGAAGTGAGATACAAGATGTTAAAGATGAAAGGTTCACAGAAAGCATTCTTGAATTTTCAATGGAGATTGAACACAGATGACTGAAAATCTCAAGGAACACTGCTCCTTTCCAATGACATATTTCTGCCTGACTTAACAACCATGAGTGTGAGAAAAAGTATAAATGAATCAGAGTCAAATGGTTTCATTTTTTTTCTGTAGAGTTTGTTTTTAAAATTAAGGGATGGATTTGTGTGAATACAAATATTTTCAGACCTACACTAGTACAACACAATGCTGAGAAGTTAATGTCTAAATTATTCTATAAACATCTATTTGGCCCATATTCTGGGACAAACAAATAAAATATGGAAAGAAAATGAAATTGTTTTACTAACAGTGATTATTTTATGTCTTCAATCTGAACAGGTTCCTCAAGATGAATGGTCAGGGTACACTCCTCGGGGTAAAGACGATGACATTCCATGCCGGAGAATGCGGAGTGGCAGCTACATCAAGGCCATGGGCGATGAAGACAGTGGTGACTCAGACACAAGTCCCAAGCCTTCCCCCAAAGTTGCTGCACGAAGAGAAAGTTATCTCAAGGCCACCCAGCCATCCCTTACAGAACTCACCACACTCAAGTAAGTAGTCCAGTGCTGTCCTCCACTGCCCAGCACATTGTACATTGTAACAAGAGTTACCCGAGGGGTAACTCTTAGATAGACTGAGCAGGATGACGCATCCTAACTAACACCCCGTGCTGTGCTGAATGATCTATCAATGTAAAACTGAGTTTGACTTGCATAACTAAGTACCTTCAAAGCCCATGGGCGCACGAGAATGCCCCACATAGACCATAAGCAAAACGAGCAGCCTCCACGCAAATCTGGAGACAATTCAGAAAAGCACCTGCAAAGAACTATGATGTCCGGTCAATGAGATGTCTCACTAGCTCTGAACCTTTGTGCAGCCCCTAAAGCCACAGGAAAACTCTCCTTTAAAGGGCCATTGCCTTTCTCAGATAATTAAGTGGTAAAGTATTATTATCTTGGAGGAAAAAATTCACACTTGAAAATGGAATATTGTGTTAAGGTTTGGAATATAGGTTTTTAAATTCAGGCACAGAATGCATATTATGATTTGTAAGTCTTCAAAAATGACTTCTTGTCTTGAAAATACAAGCTTATAAGTAGTAGTTACTTCCAATGTGCTGTTTTTCAAATGGATAGAAGTACGACAAATAAAACCACTAAAATCAATTATTATAAGCAAGGTTTGATCGAATATTATTTATAAAGAGAAAGACAGAGTTTAGAACGTGTCACCACAATAATCTACCTATAACCTCCTCCAAGGGGGATGGACAGCAGAAAAGTGGGTGAAAGGAGACATCGGTCAGTGTAAGACATGAAAAAATAATAATAATTTATAAATTATCAAGGATTCATGAGGGAGGGAAAAAATGAGGAGCTGATATCAAGGGCTCAAGTAGAAAGTAAATGTTTAGAAAATAATGATGGCAACATATGTACAAATGTGCTTGACACAATGGAGGGATGTATGGATTGTAATAAGAGTTGTACGAGCCCCCAATGAAGTGATTGAAAAAATAAAGAACACGTTACCATGTGGATCTAGAGAGAAGTAGTATGCTAAAAGCAATTTGATCTCATATTTTAAACAAGCATGTATCAACTGGTCACACATTTATTTTATATAATAATATAATATTTAAAACCAAAATTAATAAATTAAAAAGAATATTAAGTCTATCAAGGTAAGGGAAATTTCACCAAGAACACTAAAAAGCAAAGCTGGCCATTCAATACTGAGAACTTACACAGAGAATACAGACCATTTTATTTTACAGAAGTGGGCAGGGAGGGTCTTTCCATCAATATTTCCATGGATTATGTAGAACCACCCTAGATCATTTCCATTAATTTAATACCAGTGATATTGGAAGGCCAGCACAAGAAGCGAAGCTCTTCTTTCTTTCTTTGCCATTGAGTTTCATGCCCTGCCTTTCCTGTTTGCCTTTACGATTGCCACACAAGGGAAATGTTGAACTTGGAAACAGAAAAAAGAAGCGCATCTTCTTTGGCACACTTAGCAGAGCCTCCGGAATTGACCTACTCAATTGGAAAGGAACTGGATTGTAATAAAAGCAGTGGGCCAAGACATGAGGGCAGCCAAAGCCCTTCTAGAGGACCTGAGATTCCCTCCCTGGAGCCGAAAAGATCTCTGCACTGAAAACCATCACAGTAGTCCAGTCGGGCATTGCCCAGAAGAAGCAACAGAAGTAATTCCTTAGGCAAGAAAGCTACTTGGACCTTCCAAGGTTCAGTTTCCTCACAGGTATAACCTCCAAGAGTCCTTTTCAGCCTCTCAGTACCTGTTAGCTTCTCATCAGGATGCATTTGTTACATTAGCGAAAGACACATTCCTGGGTGATGCAATGAAGTGGCCACTGCTGCCCACCAGAATTCCTAGTAATACCTACAAAGAGCAGAGCCCTCAGAAAGACCTGGGGAAAGGGAGCGCTCCAAAGGAGGAGGAGGACAGGTGCTGACATCCACTCGCACGCACGCACACTCGGCTTGCGTTCAATCCTGAAGTTAATGAGCACGCTTTTACCTTCTACATCATCGTCTCTTCCCTAATGTCCTAGAACCATAATGTTACAACTACCATGCATTTCTCAATGCTCTGAAGTTGTCAGAGTAGAACAGGTCCAATGCACAGCGAAGGACCCAGCTGATGGTGGAGAAGATCAGGTACAGCAATCAGTAAAACTACAGAGTTGAGTGAAAGAGTTAAATCACCCAAATCCACAGCCATCAAGTCTACTCTGACTCCATGATGTGCTACGTCAGACTAGAACTGCCCCATAGGCTTTCCAAGGCTGTGAGTCTTTATGGAAGCAGACGGCCATGCCTGTCTCCCATGGAGCAATGGGTAGGTCCAAACCACTGACCTCTGGGTGAGCAGCTGGGTGCCTTAATCGCTGCACAGCCAGCGCTCCTTGTATAAGGGTTGTTATTATTAGGTACCAGCAAGTTGGTTCCAACCCAGCATACTGCCTGGTGCTGCGCCAGCCTCACAATTGTTGCTAAGTGTGAACCCATTGTTGTAGCCCCTGTGTCAATCCATCTCATCAAGGGTCTTCCTCTTTTTGGCCGCCCCTCTACTTCCCCGAGAATGATGTCCATTTCCAGAGACTGGTCTCTCCTAACATGTTCAAAGTACACGAGACAAAGGCTCGCCATCTGGGCCTCTAAGGATTATTCTGGCTGTACTTCTTCCAAGACAGGTTTGTTTATTCTTTTGACAGTCCACTGCACTTTCAGTATTCTATGCCAGCACCAGAATTCAAATGTATGAATTCTTCTCTGGTCTTCTGTAGTCAGTGTTCAACTTTCATATGCATAAGACGATGATTGAAATCCCATGGCTTGGGTCAAGCACACCATAGTCCTCAAGGTAATACCCTTGCTTTTAAACACTTTAAAGAGGTCTTGTGCATCACAGGCCAGTGCAATGTGTCATTTGAGCTCTTGACTGCTGCTTCCATGAGCCTTGATTCTGTATCCAGGCAAGACAAAATCCTTGAGGACTTCAGTCTTTTCTCTGCTTATCATGATGTTACCTATGGGTCCCGCTGTGAGAATTTTGGTTTTCTTAAAATTGAATTGTAATCCATAATAGAAGGCTGCAATCCTTGAACGTCAGGAAGGATTGCAGCATTAATGACTGCTCTTTTCTACCTCAAAACAAGCACATTCCAAATTGTAGCCATTTTACTGGAGGAAGCCTCAAACCAACGTCACTGCCATTGAGTCGATGCTGATTCATAGGAGCCATAGCCCTCCTGTGGGTTTCCAATACGGCAACTGTTTGCAGGAAGAGAGCCCCGCCTTCCTCCCAAGGGCGGCTGGTGGTTCCAAACTGCCCATCATGTGGCTTGCAGCCCTTGTGTCACCACGACACCTGAGCTCCTAGGGGACACCTAAGGACTAAAAAATGGGCTTCTTTACCCAGCATCACCAGATCATCCTTGTTGTGCTCTATTCTGTAGCAAATAAAATGCCATCTGACAACTGTTCAAGCATGTCTTTCTTCCCGGTCCCTGGCCCAGTGCCTGGCCCAGTCCTCCTCGTGTCCATGCGTTCCTCTTCGCCGGCTGGATGAATTCTCTTCCTCACTACGGTTGACATGGAAAGTTCCCTCATAGGGAACGACGGATCAGTGACTTTCAGCCTAATGGGCACCTAGCGAGGTACACCCAGAGCCATCCACACCAGGGAAGCAAACACTCAGACGTGGCATGACTCATAATAAATTCTGGCTTAGTCTTTGATGATGTTTTGACTAGAGATCATTATTTCTCTAGAAGTTTGACGCATTCAATTACTCCCGAGAAAAAGATCCCCATATCTTGGAATTCTAGTTCCCCAAAAAAGAAAACTCTATTTATGTCCCTACTTCGTTGACATTTAAGTCGATTTTCCCCCTCCTTCCTCCTCAGTAATTCACAGCTTGAGGAATGAATCATAGTCACAAACCAAGATCACTAAAATTAGTCAAGTGAGATGCAGGCGACATTTTGTTGGAGGTCCTCAACTCCCATCGTAGAAATGTTGAGAGCGAGGCACTCCTACTTTGGTTTGCTTTTCTCTTTTCCTCTTTTCCAAGGCATTTTGAATGTTTTCATTTTTGAGGACCATTTTCAAGAGATATTCAGTGTAACTCACCAGGTCTTCCGATACCGAGATGAAGGTCAGTTCAGCATCCTTGGGTGAGGATGCTAGTCATGACTCAACAACATCTAGGTGTGGGCTGAAAAGCGGCTACAATATCTACTCTCTACCAACGTATTATTTCTCTCCCTTGTTTCTCCGTTTCCATAACTGTGAGAAAATCCCTTTACCTCGCCCCAAGCTTTTCCTCCCACCTGAGATATTAGCTAATACATATCTGAAAGGGCATATCATGAAAAAAAATGGGTATTCTCAAAAAGAACTACATGCTTAATCATAAAATTTCCAGCAAGGAAGAGAGAAGTTTGGGGACTAGACTGCCCTCAGAGCCTGTCACCACAGCTTGGCACTGATGAAGCACTTAACTGTTTTACTTAGATCTGATAGAATATGCAATTTATGCTAGAACTGAGATTACTGCCTGCTGCCACAGTTAGTAAAACCATGTCCAAATCTCATCTAGGATTCCTGTTCAATATGCATACCACAGAGGACTTTCATTCAAAAAAATTTGATATTAAGTGAGCCATCATTTTTAAAATTCTAAAGTTAAATTCGAATGCTCACTCACCCAAGGCAAATATCACTTAGAACTCCTTCATACTTTTTAATCCCTTCATCTAAGCACTAAGAAAAATTGTCCCTGCAAGACATAATCAGTCTGCAGCAGTATAGACTTAGAAACTCCTCTGAAGTCAGTGAGAAGGTCCCCAGGCTGCTGTGCAGGTTCGGTTCTGGAAAAGGGGCAGTCAGAGCTTCCAACAAATTGGATCATATGCCTCATAAAAGACTTCAAGGTGGTTTATTTTCCATCCTAAATACCCTGACCTCTGAGAAGTTTTCATTTCAGGATGAATCCCTATTTTGAATAAAACCTTAAA